GTGTGTGTGTGTGTGTGTGTGTGTGTGTGTGTGTGTGTGTGTGTGTGTGTGTGTGTGTGTGTGAATATTGGTTCCTTTTGTCTCTTGGCTTCCCTTTATTAATAGATGTATGTGATAGGTGTGTGGGAGAAGATAACTTTATTGGCTCTGCCCTTTGGTGTCCGTAGGCATTTCTCACTTCCTCTGAAAATTGGTAGGAATGGCACTGCACTTCTGGCAAAAATAACCCAACTGTCTTAGAGTTAGGCTAAAATGAAATTGGCTTGAAGAGGCAGAAGGCGCAGGTTTCAGTCCAGTTAACAAGATTTCCAGTGTGTCAACATGTGTTCCAGCATGTGTGATGCTGTATTATATAGAACTGTCATTACAGAGGTTGGTGAGGCATCAGAAGAACCACTCCATCCACTTCACTGTCTGACATATGTCTGGATACAAATTTGAATTGTACTATGAATTCAACTTCAAGGCATGGAGAAGTACTGCATTCAGAATATTTCAGTATTTGGCCAATTCAAAATAGAATTTATATAGTATGTGGGTTAGTTTTTTTGGATTCTTCTGTAAATTAGTTTTATTTAATTTGGCAGAAATGTTTGGAAAATATAAGTTTATTTCATGGGCAATAAACTACTACCATAGGTGGTCTGATTTAGAATTGAATCCGTACACTGAAATATTTTCCAAACTCCATCTGTTTCCTTCCAGAATGTCGTGTTATGAAGTCGTCATATTCCCGTTCACCTGGTACACCAAGACAATCTGGATCCAAAAGCCCAGGACCCTCACGTCGAAGCAAGTCACCTGCTTCAGGTACAATTATAAGAAAATAGCTGAATATTCAGAGCATATGAAACTTGTAATTTGTTGAATGGACTTAAAAGATTGCCATCTTTTTATGAAGTGGAAATGTCATGTATTTCATGATGAAGAACCTGAAACGCCAAGTTATGCCACATAGATTTTATACACTGAAATGCATTTATTCTGCATCCTGTAAAGAAAAGAGATTCTTTTTCATTATAAGCCAAAAAGGTTTGAATTTGTGAATGTTTACAGTGACTTGTGCTAATTGTACATTTAAGGATAAATTTTCAGCATGGGGTTGGATTTGCAGAAGACCCCTATTAACTGAAATGGGATCATCTGGTTAAATCCCCATTCATTACATTAAAAATATACCCTTCTGTGTTTCAAATTTAGGGTTTTTCCCCTTTCATATATTGAACACTGTCAAAATATAGCAGTTTGCTTCTTTGAGCTGTTGTAAGTTGCCCTGTGAAATTGCATAAACACCTTTTCTTCTCATACTTCCTGTCATTTTATAGTAATGTCCAAATTGTCTCTTCACCTGCTGCTAGTCTGACTGAATAGCACATTTCCAAGCATTGGGTATTTTTACTTGAAAATGAGAAAAATGGGAAAAATTTTGCTTTTACCTTTTACCTCACAAGTTGTTGTGGTTTTCCCTCATCCCCACCCCAAAATACAGCAAAATCCAAATGTTTTTTCTCTCCACTGGGGAAAAGTGACACTGGCATTGAGCCATTGAATATTAAAATATATAGTGCCATGTTCTGATTGTGGTTATATGTGCAGCTCCTGTGTGCATATCAAAGACAGAATATGATCCTATTTTATTATTTTCAAATCAATATTTACTGCCTTGTAGAGTGATTTTCATTGTCATTTTGTGTCTTTTGTATCACAAGTAAAAGTAGGATTTTTTTTAGTTTCGGAGAACAACTGTAATCATAAGAAAAGAAAGGGCAGTACATAAAAGGCTGATTTCATAACTGATGTACACATACATCATGCAAGCCTGTTAACTTCATTGGGATTGTATGGGGTGTAACTCTTCAATTAATTTAGTTCAAAATGTAGCGATTAGTACTAATATTTTCATTTTATGATTTATTTATACTCTAATAAAGCTCAGAATGTGCTAAGCAATGTCCACAGACCCAAGTAGACAGGTCGTGCACCAAAGTTTTCAGTCTAAAACTTTATTCTGCTCAAACCTTTACATAAAAACAAAGGGTAAAAATTTCAAAAGTGCTTAAGTGGTTGAGGTGCCAAATGTCCTGTTTTCAAAAGTGACTTAGGAGTCTCAGTCCTATTGAATGTCTTTTAATGGGACTCTAGGCTCTGAAATCATGATTGGGACTTCGGCACCTTGATCACTTAGATGATTTGAGGTTTTTACCCCAATTGTTTGGTATTTATGCTTATACTTACCATACTTTCTCTTTCAGTTTTTGGTGGTGGTTGTTGCTTGTGCATTTCCCTTCTTCCTTTGTGTGTATGCTGAATAACTTCTCTCCTTAATGTCTTTCTCCTTTGTGTCAAATGAATGAGTGCAGTAAAGAGGGGTGGCCACTACTCCAGTGCTTATTCTACAGCAAAATCCCCAGGTGAGCCATTATTATTATGGCTTTATCTCACCATCATGCCTCTTACCTTTCCATTTACCCGTCTCTCCATTTCCATGAATGTATTACAGTTTGCTACACACATTTTGTGCTCTGGAAAACAAAAGTACATTGGATCTATCCTACTTGTTGCTGTAGGTCTTTGAGTGGGCAAGAGATTGAGTGTGAGTGATGCTTGTAACTGCCAGACATCTGCAGACAGTGCAGTAAAATTAGATTTATTAAGGTATAATTTGACTATATATAGAGAAGCAGCCTTCCAAGCCATGAATGTATATAGTCATTCTAGAGTGTGTGATAATGAGAAATTTTAACCAACACCACCAGACAAGATTAGCTGGAGCTGAGACCGAGAATTGCTGAAAATGTAGCTAAATTCAGAATAATGTGGGACTGATTTGCTACTAACTTGCATCAGAACAAGTCAGGCCCTATATGTTTTCCAACTTTTTGTGAAGCAAATGAAATAAATATAGTTTTTCTTGGATCTCTGCTGTTTAAGTCTAAGTCCTAGATCTACAATCTGACAATGTATTTATGTGGAAAAATGGGTCAGCCGTGTCCTAAACAAAAAAAAACCCCAACCACCTCCATTTCCCACATAAATATATATATTCTTAATTGGCAAGTGGCTTACAAAATTGGACCACACTGGAAAAACAAATTTAAAAAATCTTTTAGTGTTGTTTAATTGTGGCATTGCATATTCCATTTAAGGAACTGGGGAAAAGGAAATGTATTTATTTGTATTATAACTCATACTCAAAATGTGCTTGCTGCTACCACACATTATATAGAAAGACACAAACCCTGCTCCTAAAGTGCCTACAACTGGAGAACTGATTTAGAAAAGAAAAGCTTTGTGTACTCACGCAACAATCAGCAGCAACAAACAAGTTAGAAATCCATAAAAGTATGACTGACTCTTTTTATTGAGAATGTCAAAGGAAGGTATTCCAGTTTCAATTGGCAGCTGCTTTCCTCCTTTTCCTTAAAGTCTGTCCATGTGACATCTCCACTTCTTGGGAGCTGAGGGGGCTCAGCCCCTCTCCCCAGGATTGGGCCCTACGGATCTGTTCTCACTAGAGTTACAACTATGTTCTAGCACTCATCCAGAGTGGTTGCAGAAAACATGGTTGATATCTATCCTTAAGTCAGTCTCTTCTTGTGTTGTCTCCAGCACAATACTGTGTAGCTACTAAACATCTCTGGGGCAGCTATCCTATACTGCATCTGCAAGGGATTAGAGTCGGGGGAGAGCAGCATGCAGAACAACACCAGCAGCCCAAGGGGCAATGTACTCTGGGATGTCTTACTTCAGATTGCTGGGAGGAAGGAAAACCAGTTGGCAAACCATTGCACAGACCTGGTTAGGGGTCCTTTCCACACCTAACCTGAGTTTTATGAATGAGTTACAGGGAGACCACCATGTCCCGGCCTAGGCCTCTGACAATGGCAAAATATGGTCAGCTGACACAGTGACTAAGTGTTTACCATGCTGTGCATGTAATGGTTTAGAGACAAATATGGTACTAACTGGTTACAAACCGAGGTAAAAGTTATCACATAGGCAGGGCTGCCCAAACATACCAAGGCAGGCACAAGATTGTGAGCTTCCTATAAACTATGTAAAATGAGTTTATTAATAAAAGTGACAGTTTCTGCTCCTATAGCACTATTTAACTGATTTCAGGCAGAATTCTCTACACAACCTTCTTTTATGTTCACAGGCTGTTTTTGTTTTTGTTTTTTGTTTTACTGATAGAATTTTAAAATTGAAGTTCTTATATGGCTTTCCAGGAAGTACAGTATAAAATAATAACTAACACTTAAGCCTTTTCATGCAATTTATGAAATTAAGGAAGCGTTATTATCCCCATTTTGTGAAAGGGATGTCTGAGTAAGAGTGAGAGAGGAGATCTTCCCAAGACTCTAAGGGACATTCAGTGGGACTTGTGCACCATTTAGATGTTTCTGAAAATCTCCTCCAGAGTGACTTGTCCGGGATCATAAGGTGCTTGGTCCTGCTCTCTTTAAAGCCAGTGGTAAAACTTTCATTGATGTTAGTAATGTAGGATCAACCCCTTAGTGATTCAATAGCAGAGTCAGGAATAAAACTGGGATGGTCATCAGATTCCAAGAAGACCGATTCCCTAGATAAATGGTGCTTAATTTTTAACCTAGCATCATGCACATTCGGGAGGATCATTTGTTAAGGCTGTGGAGCTGCTGTGTAGTCTCAGTAACCACTGAGATCACAACTGTTCAAGCATTACAAAATAAAATAGAGCTGTGTAGGAAGACTCCTCAGTTCCCAGAGAAGTTCAGTATTGTATGTTGGCTGGCATTCGCACAGCAAAAAACAATGGTGGTGCTTAAAAGAGTAGTGCATAGCCCATTAGAGAAATTCTTCACACATCTGAAAAAGTGTAGGTGGTTACTTGTGTTTCCATGGAAACAAAATGTTTTGTTGGCAGGTTTTTGTTTTTCTTAAAGGAGAAACTTTCTCCCCCTGTGAAGTGGTGTTATTTTTTTTGCTCTTTAGTTTCCTGATCAGTTTTTCCTCTCCTCGGGCAAACAAGGATTGGATGCAGAAGCAATACATTGCATCATTTAATAGAGACTCCTTTGGTCAGTATTATGAATGACACCGATTTAGCCCTTTTTTGGAAGAATGTAGGACCTGAGCTAACTGCCCCTCAAGCCAATAGGAGTACAGTGGAGGTTTTATTAGGTCCTGAATAATTAGAGGGGTTAAAATGGGTAGGTTCTTGACATCCGAGATTGTGGGGAGGGAGAATTTTTCTGTTAGCTGAGAATTTTCTCATTGATGCTTTTTAGTAACTCCTTGAAAGTTCAAAATTGAAATGTTAACTTTTTTTGAAAATGTTTTTCCTACACACAATGCTCTATTATTAAGGGTTCAGTTAAGAACCTGTAGTCTAGTACGGGTTGGTCCCCAAAACACACACACTTTATTTTAAATGAAAACACAAATCACCTATAAAGTATTAAGTTGACTTTGCAAATGGGGAAGAGGAAAAGGGAGGTCAAATTTTGGCAACCTGAATTGTATCTCTTTAATATTTTGTTATGGTACCACAATAAATTATGCAACTTAAAGACCCAATCCTCCTATCTTTGTGTACCCAAACCTTCCATTGGCAACAGGCAGACTGGCTCTCGTGAAACCGGAATAGAAATGCAGTGTTTTGTATGTGCAAAGGATGCAGCCAATTTCCAGCCAATGGGCGTTTGAGTGAGCAAAGGATACTGTATTGGACTTTATGATTCTTTCTGAGATGCTGGGATTGGGCCTATTTAGTCTTTATGTGAGTAAACTCAGATAATACCTCAGAGAGGCACATTATATTGCAAAAGGCATTTGTGTTTTTATCTTTTTAATAATCTTTTCTTCCTCTTGGTTGCCTTTGTTGCTCTGGTCAGTCAATGGAACACCCAGCAGCCAGATATCCACTCCAAAATCTACTAAGTCCTCCAGCTCTTCACCAACCAGCCCGGGGAGCTTTCGGGGACTCAAGGTAGGTATTGCACACCTTGGTCTTTTGCAGCAGAAACTGAAACTTTCATGCTAATTATCAACCCCTTACTAATGGAACAAAGTTCTAGGTGGTGATCAAGAATAAAAATCAAAAGTATGTACATACCTACAAGAAATCAAAAACTATTTCTAGACCATAAGCCATTCTTGCTGGTTTAATTATTGATTTAAGTTACTTGGCAGATTTGGGGTGAGATTCTGTGATGTACCTCTCAGAGGTGCAGCATAGAACTCTGAGTCTATGGGGGCACGGGGGGGGGGGGCACTGGTGGCTTTGAGCCATCTCTGTGCCTACTTGATCCCTCCCTTCCCATGCAACTTAGAAAGCCTAAAGCTCCAGTAACCTCCCAGGGCTGCTCTATGGGCTGCAACACTGCATGCTGCTGCCCCACCCCGACATGCCCCTCTCACCCCTGGCAAACTCTTCTTGCCCCTTACATTAGGGCTTATTAGGGGATTCTCTGAGGGCAGCCTTACAGCTGGCGGGCTTCCACAGTGCCTGCGCCAAGAGAATCCTCCCCTAGTGAAACCATGGCTTTCCCTTTACCAGGGCTCTGGCCCTGTTACCTTATGTGTGGGACTAGAATGGTGGTGAGACTTTTGCTACTGTCTTTTGTAGGAGAATTTTCTAGTGAATACATAAATTGCAGCATTTCTCCAAGTGCACTAGAGGATTCACTCCCTGATCATTCTAAGTTGCAGCTCCCATTGTTGAACATAATGGTTGTAAAGAGGATGCATAATTTCATCAAACATAATTCTCTCAATTTAGAGAGCATAGAAAGGACAGATCACAATTAGAGTGGTACTCAGGTTTGGGTTTTTTGACATACTAATTATTATTGAATCTTTGTCTATTTCGACTGCATATTGCACTGATTTCTGGCAGGCTTCCCCAGTGAGCCTGCTAGAAAGGAATTTTGATTGACGTGATAAGTTCCAGTATATTCTTAAATTACTTGGTTCTTGGTAGTAATTTTGATGTGCTTCTCTTGCATGGAGTCTACAGTGCTGAGCTATACTAGTTTCTCTTCGCACACGGGCTTAGACTGATCTCTTGCTATGCACTCTGTCTTTGAAAAAATGACGTGTGTGTAGGAGCAATAGCAGTTTTTACTTGTATCTTAAATCAGAATTTGGCTCAAAAAATCTCCAGTATTGTATCCTGAAGTTGCTTATGGTATAAAACACCAATATTGGTGGAATTGAGGGTATCTTATTTACAAGATTTTTCAGCTTCTACATTTTAACAATTTCTTCTGCTTTATCTCATTTACCTCAATGAAATTACTAATGTAGAATTATAAATAATTACTATTCTGATTGCTTTTAATAGAGATAATTTCTGATCGTAACAAGCTATTTTTAATCAAATGGAAAGTCCTTTCTCCCTTTCACTGTCAGTTTCACTCAAGTAGCTTCTGCAGTAATTTTCCATTTTTGAATTCAGTCGATACTTGGTACTAATGGATTTTCATGTCAAATAAGCCATGCATGCATCATCAGAGTTGAAAAATGGCAAAAACAAACTAATCATCCAAAAAACATAAAGTACCTACCAAAGTAGTAGCTACCTCTCATTTTTCCCACTGGTATGCAGCTATTCAGAAGTAGACTCCAGCTGTGTTTTGGTCACTAGAGAGATGGGTATGCTTAGCTGGTTCATCTTGGGGTCAATGCCAAAAGGAGTTAATGCATTCTGTCACAACACTTGTTTCTGTTTCTGGGATGTATTCCCAACACTCATCTGTTTCTGGGAAGTATTCCAACAAGCATGCATGAGAGTCAAAGAATTGACATAAAAATAGTAAGAGAAATATTGTAACACTGTTATACCTGTGCTTTTTAGGAGGCCATTGTATTTGTGTTTGGTTTGACCTGTCCATCTATGAAAAAGAAAAATTCAATTTTATTGTTTTGCTGGGCCTTTGCAGTCCTTGCTATATCCCACTGGTGATGTCCTCTGTTGCACACTGTGCTCTTACATGCACAGGCTGGCTTCCTGCACTTGTATTAAAGGTGCAAGGAATCGTTGTCCAGGAAGTGACAGGTTTCAGAGTGGTAGCCGTGTTAGTCTGTATCAGCAAAAACAACGAAGAGTCCTTGTGGCACCTTAATAATAATAAATAAATTTTGTTAGTCTCTAAGGCGCCACAAGGACTCCTCGTTGTTTTTGTCCAGGAAGTGACCGTGATTGCAGCTGAGGAAAAAATGCAGATGTTGAAACTATGACAGAACATTTATCACATTGAAGGCACAAGATGATATGCTGAGGGTTGGTTTGTTTGAAAAGTTAATGTTTTGGCTGCTGATTTCATTGTAGGCATGTGTATTAATATGTATAATATTAACAGACAGAATTAAGAAGGTATTTAAAAAATTGCTGTTGGTTTTGTGTGTGTGCACGTGCAACAATTCATGCAGTAGCTCTCAGGAATTCAAAGGGCAGGGTTCTCCTATGACACTTCCCTTCTTGTTTTTGTTTTTTTATGGTTTTTAAAACCCAGACCCAAATGCTCATTCTACTCCACAGTTTTATAAAAAAGACAAGTTACGGTTACTTACGAATGCTGTACTGCTGATTGAGCTCCCCTTTTCAATGGCAATTGATATTCTGTATAGAAAATAAACTGTCGTTTCTTTGATTAAAGTGGATAACAATTCTGGTAACAGTGTCTAGTGTTGCATAATCATTGGGGACAATTATGATGAGGTCTTTTTGTCTGGAAGAAGAGAACAAATCAGGGTTGATTTTCAACTTATTGAAATGATCATGCAGGAATAGCAGCTGCAAACACAATACCCTTGCAACGCCAATAGCTTCTTGATCTCCAGAGCAAAGTATATGGCAAATTAAGTACATGGCGTATTTCACCATAGGATTGAAGTTGGATAATAAATGCTAAAGACCAGGGCAGAGCTTGAGTGATAATTCCAGCCATCAGGGCAGTAAAATAGCAAATCATAGTGACTTTAGTAGCAATTTCTTTCTTGATCACAGACCTTGACCCTTACATCATATTCTGTTCATACCACTTTTTCTTCAAAGCAAAATGAAGAATTGTTTCACTCCCCAAGGATTTCCCTCTCCTTCTCAGTGTACTGGATCCATGGAAATGGTACTCTCAGGGACAGAAAACCAATCACAGGAAACAAACTCTTGAAAGAAGAACAGCTTATCTTTTTATAGAGGGGCTTTTTTCTGCCCTGATAAACTTTGATCCAGAATGTCATTGTGCTAATTCAGGTGTTCATGTGGCCCTGTTGTAGCCAGTGTCACAAGATATTTATGTGCCAGATGTGCTAAAGATTCATATATCCCTTCATGCTTCAACCATGATTCCAGAGGACATGCATCCATGCTGATGACGGGTTCTGTTCCAAAGCTGAGCGGACTGATGCATGTTCACTTTCATCATCCGAGTCAGATGCCACCAGCAGAAGGTTGATTTTCTTTTTTGGTGGTTTGGGTTCTGTAATTTCCACATCAGAGTGTTTGCTCTTTTAAGATTTCTGAAAGCATGCTCCATACCTCATCCCTCTCAGATTTTGGAAGGCACTTCAGATTCTTAAACATTGGGTTGAATGCTGTAGCTATTGTTAGAAATCTCACATTGGTTTTGTCAATGAAAGTGTTCTTAAAACAAACAACATGTGCTGGGTCATTATCTGGGACTGTGTTGCGATGTGAGACTCTCTGGTGCGGCCCCTCCTGCTGGTGATCCTGGAGATAAGCTCGATTCCAGTCTGGAGCACTCTCTGCTGGCTGGTGGCTCACCTGCCACTGGCCCAGTCTCCCTCCTGGCCCCTGGTGGCCTTTACCTCGGGGTTCACCCACTGCAGTACCCCCACACTACTCTGGGTCTCCCCTCCCAGGGGAACCCCCAACCCTCTCACCCACCTTGCCTCAGTGGCTACTGCCAGTCATCATCTAGCCCCTGCTCACTGGGGCAAACTGCAGTCTGTCATGGCCACTCATCATTGGCAAGGGGGTTTGGCCAGCTGCCACTGCCTAACCCCAGACTGCACTTCTGCAGCCCCAGTACCTTCTTTACGCCTTGCACAAGGCCTGCAGCCTGGGGAGTTGCCAGGCTGGAGCTCCCAAGCTCCTCTTGCCTTTCCCCAGCACTGCTCTACCTCTGGTACCCTGCTCCCAGGCAGCTAGGTCCTTCTCCCTCCACTGCTAGAGAGAGACTGCCCCAGCTCCTGGCTCACAGCCCTTCTATAGGGCCAGCTGTCTCCTAATTGGGCGTGGCCCCTGCTGTGGCTGCCTTCCCAATCAGCCTACCCTATTGGCTCCCCGGGGCAGCCCTTTCCCAGGGGCAGCCCTTTCCCAGGGCTGTTTTAACCTCTTCAGGACCGGAGCGGGGTGACTGCCCTGCTACAGACTGCTATAACATGAAATATATGGCAGAATGCGGGTAAAACCGAGTAGGAGACCTACTATTCTCTCCCAAGGAGTTCAGTCAAAATTTAATTAATGTATTATTTTTTTAATGAGCGTCATCAGCATGGAAGCATGTCCTCTGGAATGGTGGCCAAAGCATGAAGGGGCATATGAATGTTTAGCATATCTGTCACGTAAATTCTGGCTACAAAAGTGCCATACGAATGCCTGTTCTCACTTTCAGGTGACATTGTAAATAAGAAGAGGGCAGTATTATCTCCTGTAAATGTGAACAAACTTGTTTGTCTTAGCGATTGGCTGAATAAGAAGTAAGACTGAGTGGACTTGTAGTTTCTAAAGTTTTACATTGTTTTGTTTTTGAGTGTAGTTATGTAACAATCTACATTTATAAGTTGCACTTTCACGATAAAGAGATTGCACTACAGTATTTGTATGATGTGAATTTAAAAAGATTTCTTTTATCATTTTTACAAAGCAAATATTTATAATAAAAATAATATAAAATGAGCATTTACACTTTGTATTCTGTGTTGTAATTTAAATCAATATATTTTAAAATGTAGAAGAACATC